AAAAATGATTGTGGGAAAAAATATTCTTGCATCCTTAATGATGTTAGCAGCCTTTTAATCCAAGAGCCTTGGGCATCTTTTTTCTCTAACTTGCCACAGCCAGCAGTTTGAGCTGTCAGAATCCAAGCTTATAAATGCCAGTCCTTTGCCAGGGCATAATTAATCTCTCTTTTGTAAATCAGTATCCTACTTTAAGTAAGAATAAACTAACACTTCTTGAGCTCTTACTATGTACATTAAATACATTAGTGTATTTAATCTTGCTTAAGCCTGCCAATCCCCATAAGGTGGTTGTATAGATCCTAGCTTTACAGAAAAAGGACCATAGTCTAGAGAAGGAAAGGAAACCTTAGAACTATGATCTGAATCCAGTTCTGCCTGATTCAATCCCTGTTATTTTCACCCCAGTACACATATTTTTGGAAAATAGATGCATTTTAATCTGTACCAATTGTTGAGATGCAAAAAAGTACCACTACATGCCCTTCTCATTCTGAATACTATTAACCATCTAAAATAAAGTGGATTTTCTTTGGGAGGGTGGTACCAAGGATTGAACTCAGAACCTTGCGCTTGCCAGGCAAACCTTCCACTGAGCTATTTCCTGAGCCCCTACAGTGGAAAAATTTTATACTCTCAGCATATAAATCAACTGTGCCCAACACTCTCAACTATGTAAGTCTAGAAGGACTAAAACCAAAAATCTCTGAAAAGACAAATACAAGGAAAATAAGTATGTTATGGAAATATAACAAAAAATGCAAAGTCTCAACGCAGAGAAAGATTATGCAGATCAAAGAAATAAAATGGCATACATTTTTTATATACAACAGAGGGTATTAAAGTAGCTGAAGAAATGATGTTTCGATCAGAAAGGGAATTGGTCAGCAACAGAAATGGAAAGAGGAGGAAGTGGAGAGAGAATCAGTGAGAGTGGCATTGGCAGGCTTTCCCTCTCCGTCGGAGACAGCGTCTTGGACAGAAGACTGAGGACCCCAGTGATCCTGGGAAAGATTGTACGATGCAGTAACAAAATATTGCAGAGGAGGAAAGTGACTCAAGATGACCTACACCTCTTTTTCTGATTCAAATCTTCTTAGAACAACTTTTTGACTCCAATTCAGCCTTTCTTCAAAACAGGGCAAGTACAAGTAAAGTATAAGAGTAAGTTATACTGACAGAACTCATGCCTCCAGAGAATTTGTTTCTTGTTGTGTATTTGTAAGAGGGCATCATGGTCTTATACATCAGTATCTTGGAGTGGGATGAACACTGAGTCCAGGCCTGGGAGGTGAAGCCACTCTGTGCTGATCAAGGCTGCAAATTAGCGCCAAGCTTCTGACACCACGAGGATGCTGGCCAGGCTGAACTCATGATGACGTCACCATGGCAGGGAGACCAAGGAGAGCTATGCAGTATCCCCGTTGTCCTTTCCTACTTGGTGCTATGTGCATCTCCATTCAGACTGAAGGGCTCTGTGTAGACACAACAGCCTACAAGAGCAGCAACAACCATGGAGAAGGGATTTGCCTGGTATCATGGAATAAGTGCATGAGTTGACAGTAAGACACTGAGCTCATTAATTAACATTTAGCTTTAGAAAAGTTACAGCCTCTGCAGGCCTGAAAGCGCAATAGAGAAAACAATACTGCCAAATAAAGCCCTTCAAGATTTGTTCTCTTTTAGTGAAGCTGCCGCATAAAAATGAATGAAAATTTTCCTTCTCTGTAAAGCAAAGCCACAGAACTGTTCTCAGGACTGTAGAAGGCCACCTGTCAGCTGAGTGACCGTGGACAAACCAAGCTACTTTGGAAGCATCTGTCACCTTGCTGTAAAGGAAAGTTTTTATCAGTTTTTACAGAGGCCCCCACAGTTCCAAGGATTTCACGCTGAACACCTAGGATTCCATCTTCAAGACCGAAGTGTTCTCGTCCATGCTAGGATTGCTGCAGCAGTCTTCTCTTTGCTTTGCCTGAATCCAGTAACATTCTCTCCAATCCTTGAGCCAGACAAATACGACCATGTCCTACCATTGCTGAAGAATGAATGTGTTGTCTTCAGAATAAGAATTTGAATTTCATACATCCCACTCAGCTCTCTTTCTTACTTTTTTTTTTTTTTTTTTTTTTTTTTTTTTTTTTTGCAGAACCGGGGATTGAACTCAGGCCCTTGCGCTTGCTAGGGAAGTGCTTATTCCACTGAGCCACCTCCCCGGCCCCCTCTTTCTTACTTTTGTGAGAAAACTCTCCTTTGTACACACTTCATTTTTATTGTACTTCACTATATCCAACCAAGGAGGGTTCCTGTAATGGCTTAGTGTATGACAAGAGCTCTCTTTTGGGCAGGTAAAGTTTCAATGACTATGAAATATCCAATTGGAAATGTCAAGTGAACAGTTAGTAAGGTGTCTGAGGCTACAGGACTAGAATTTGCTATAGGAAGCTCCAGGTTATAGGAACAGAATTTGCAGCTAGTCAAAGAGAGAGAAGTAGATCCCATGCAAGCTCCCTGGGAAGGAAATGAGGACAGCAAGTGTAACAGACTTGTGACAGAGGGGTGATTAAACATGAGCATCCAATGACATTAAACTATTTTTCCCAATTCATTAAAAATATGTAATTTAAACACTAGACAGTATAAGAGATTGTGGGAAGATTTGTTCCCCTTTCCATAAAAACTGTTATAAATAGGGTAGATAAATCAGCATATAACATTTTTTAAAGAGAAACTTAGGCTTTGAAAGGATAAAATATCTAAATTCAGAAGCTAGTATTTACATTCAAATATTTTTGAATGATGCTTCTAGTCTTCAGAATCATTGCCCTTCTGTCAGATAATAATGCAGGCCATAAAGTTTAATCCAAATAAAGAAGCAATTATCATTGATAATACAAGGGTTATTGGACTTCAAATAATGAATTGGTCAGGGGCAGTCCTTTGAGTTTATCTGACTAAGCTGTTTGTTTGCAAGAAGTAGAGAATGAAGGACTTATATTTAAAGAAGAGCACACATAACCTCTGAGTCTATATGCCTATCTTAGGCTATTACTATAATAAATTATTATGAAAAGGAGCTTAAACTTTCATTTACCTATACATTTTCATTACCTCCAAGATTGATAAGAATATTATTACCTAGTTAAATTGCCTATCTTTCATACTGGACATAATTCCACTCCTGTCAGATACTAGAAATTTGTGATCAATATGTCAGCCACACCCTGCCCAGATTTTCTCTTATCCCACATAGAAAATCTACCCCAAGTTGCAACAACCACGTCATATCTCAAATTATATACCTTCACCTAATAGATAGAGCCTTTAAATTTAATGTGCATAACTGAAGTTTATACTAAACAAGCTATTTATGCAACACGCATGTTGTAGGTGGTTTGGCTTCACCTTTTTCATAATCCTTACCTTGTGTAGTTCTTAATTGAATTTTCCCATTTTTCTGATTTAGTGCCTGATGTGAACTCTTGGGAGAAAACATTAAAACTGACAGAATACGACACAAAACAATTTATTGACTGATGGCATAACAGTCGTCTGACCATCTTCAGGGCTAAGGTCTGCAGGAAGCCTGAGTTCATGTGTGTATGTCACTTCCATGAAATCAAGCTTTCAAAAATGTTAGACTTCTATGTCATTCTGGATGAAGTCTTGGAAGTAAACAGCTGTGAGATGCCTTAAGTTCCAGTGGGAAGCCAGCTAAGAGAGAGACTTCTTCCAGGAAACAACTCAAGGAATCAATTAGCCTCACTGACAAATTAATTTGTTGAAATGAAGCTGCTACACCCTCAAGGGCCACCTGTGCCATTGTGGAGTTCAAAGAACTGGCTCAAGGTTCTTTGACATTTATATATCTCGATTTACAAAATATTTTACAGTTTGATCACTAGGCAGAGTAGAAAGCCTGTGGCAAGATGAAACCTCTTATATCAGTGAGAACCTATGTGAAGATCAAATTGGATGTAGATTATTTTTCAGAAAATATATCAGTGAAAGGGTACAAAGTTTCAGTTGTACAAAATGAATAAAGTCTTAGAGGTCCACTGTCTAGCATAGTGCCTGTAGTCAACAGCATTATTCTTAACATTTTGCTATTAAGAGAGATCTTATATTATATATTCCCACTGTAATAGAAAGTAATGAGGTCATAGAAAGTTCAGTTATTCTATAAGTAAGGTCAGTAGAAAATGGTCAGTTAGATGAAAAGAAACTAGTGCATACACTGACTTATGAACTAATTAAACTACGTAGTTATTTATGTTTAGGATTGTAAGAGAAACTGCAGGAAGAACATGAAAGTTAAAATAAAAAGTGATACATAAAATATCTTTCTACTGGGAGAAATTCCTAGGAGTGTACTAAGTTATCTGACATGCTGGGAAAACTTAGAAATGCAGAGTAACTAGTTTCCTTTCAACCTAGTTTCCAGAAACTTAGAAATGCAGAATAATTGCTTTCTGGCAGAGAAAGTGATTTTTTAAAAAATTCTACAAAGCCCTCTTCGCCCAAGTTATGCTTAGCCATGTAAGATCGAAACAAAGAAAGCACTTAGGCAACGCCACTTCCGGAATCCCCACACAGTGGATATCCGCCTAGAGCTTTTTTCTCATTATTATTTTCAATAAACAGCCTCCAGCTCTTTCCCATCTTGCAAGATTGTGGGTGAAAAAACTGAGAAGCCAAACACTGAAGAGAAGAAATCCAAAGCCAAAAAGCCTTCTGCCAGTGGTACTGGTAAGAAGGGTAAGGTGAAGGAAAAAAGGTCCAAGAAGGGGCAGCCCTACTACAGCCGAAATCCTGTCCTGGTTAGCAGAATTGGTAGATACTCCTGATCTACTATGTATTCCAGGAAGGATTTGTATAAGAGAAAGTACACAGCTGCTAGATCAAAGATTAAGAAGAAAAAGAAGGATACAGTTCCTGCTACGATCACAAAACCAGTCGGTAGGGACAAGAATGGAGGTACCCAGATGGTTAAGCTTTGAAAAATGCCTAGATACTACCCTACTGAAGATGTGCTCCAAAAGCTCTTGAGCCACGGCAAGAAACCCTTCAGTCAGCATGTGAGGAAACTTAGAGCTAGCATCACTCCTGGCATCATCTTGATCATTCTCACTGGGCGTCACAGAGGCAAGAGAGTGGTCTTCCTGAAGCAGTTGGCCAGTGGCTTGCTACTTGTGACTGGGCTTCTTAGCCTGAATCGTGTTCCTCTACAAAGAACACATCAGAAATTTGTCATTGCTGCCTCTACAAAAATTGATGTCAGCAAAGTGAAAATCCCCAAACAGCTCACTGACGCTTACTTCAAGAAGCAGCTGTGGAACCCCAGACACCAGGAGGGTGAGATCTTCAACACTGAAAAACAGAGACACCAGATTTCAGAACAGGACAAGGTGGAGCAGAAAGCAGTGCATTCACTGATTTTAGCAAAAATTAAAACTGTTCCTCAGCTCCAGAGCTAACTCTGATCTGTTTTTGCTCTGACAAATGAAATTTATACTCATAAATTAGTGTTCTAAATTTCTTACTAAGAACCTAATTAACTGATACATTTTTAAAAATAAAAAAGTAAAATAAGGTCTCCTAAGTCCCTCATTTTGTTCTCCATTTCATTTTTTGACTTTATGAGATAACAGGCTCAGATTTTATGCAAAATTAACTGCTTCGCTGCCTAACAGAAAACTAATAAGATGAGGAGAAACTTTTGGAGATGATAAATAACAGTGATGATCTGAAGGATGTGTAATTACCTCCAAGCTCTTGCTTAATATATGTTTGCAATGTACAGTATACAGCTCTCATATGTTAATCATATCTTAATTAGGTGGCCTAAATAAAAGAAGAAAAGAGGGGCTCAGGAAATAGCTCAGCATTCTAAGCACCTGCCTGGCAAGCACAAGGACCTGGGTTCTATCCCTGGTACCACAGGCCCTACCAGCCCTGCCATGCCAGTCACCAAAACTGGGCATGGTGATGAATGCCTGCAATCCCAGTGCTGGGGAGGCTGAAACAGGAGGATCATTAGGAGTCCAAGCCATATAGTGAGATCCTGTACCAATAAATAAATAAGTAAAACAAAATTCAAAAAAATAATAAAAGAAGAGAAGACTTTTGGGGAAGCCATAATAATTTTTGAGCTACTTATTTTGATCATTTGATCTTTCACTTGTATCAGATTGTCATTCTTAGTTTCTTTGGCTGAAAACAAATAAATAAACAAACCATCAAAACCCCCATAATTATCAATGCCTTTTATTGAGCTGAAGAGGTCACTCCTTTATTATCTTCATGTTTGTTGTTGACTAGATTGGAACAGAGGCACATGAAGATGACTAGGAAAATTCTACCCTAAAATTTCTCCACATGAATGGAATGTCGATTCTTGGTTCCTTCTGGAGAAAACTGCACCCCAAAAGAAGGTCACTATCTTCCCCTGATCCTGCCATGAGCCCTACTAATTGATAACTGCAACTTCTAAGCTGGCAAGGGAGAAGAATTCTCACAACAGCTCTGTACAGACTTCGCAAGGAGCCACCATGATCACAGCCTTGGCACCAGGGTGACACTGTAGGGAGGTGATGAAGTCTTTGAGAGGTGGCACCCACCTGGAGGCCATTAGCTCACTGAGTCCTTGGCAGTTCTTGTGATTCCTAACAGTCCTCTCAGTGGTTGTGACCAAGCCTGATCTCTTCCATCTTCTTTGCTTCTGTCTGGAGATGGGACCACTCACTCTGACACATGCTTCCAAAGTTTACCTGCTACTTGAAACGTCTTCAGCAGAATCTGAGACCACAGCTTTGAACTTCCAAAACTGCAGGATGCATGAGTCTTTTCTTGTTATAAACCCTTCAATGACAGCTTCTTCTGGGGTATACATAAGTTCACTACCCTGGCTCTAAGCTGAAGAACACACTTGCCAGTTAGCCAGAGTGGTCACCTGACAAAAACTAACTTTGTTGTTGTAGTCTTAACTTGTGAGTTTCCTATGTAAAATAGGACCTACAGTTATTTCACTGAAACACATATTCAAATAAATAAAAAAATTTATACAATTACCAAAATGGTATAACACTGAAATGTTAGGATTAACCACAAAAGTCATAAAAAGGAAAACATTAATTTGAAATATAAAATACAGTCTTGAGGAAGAAAATTATCACAGCTGGTAAGGGGTAACAACAAGTAAGAATGGAGCTGTATATTTTGACTCTGTTTCTTGGAAGCTGATGGGCAAGGAAAAGCTGGGTAATTGTTAGGTCTTCTTTATCCATGGAGAAGAGAGTGGGAGGCAACTGAAATTTTCCTCAGGAGCTTCGCATGAAGGACAGAGATGTGCAGAACAGTATGGCAGCATTAGGGTTAATATATGTAAAGATTCCATGTCAATTAAAGAGCTCTCCTATATGTTGAAAGGGTAACACTGGCCTTAGTGGGGAACTTGGGAAAGCTTTCTAGAGTTTTACTACCAGTTGACAGAATCAAGAGGGCCGGTATGTTGAGAAGTGTGAAGGTAGAAAGAAAGAGAAAGGTAAGAAAATAAACTCCTCATCACGACTGTTACAAAAGATGAAGGGCTGTCTGGGTGCTTGATTCATAACACATCAAGTGAAGTTCACAACAGGAAGTAGTTTAACAATCAAGCAGCATTACTGTCCCACAGAGCCCCCAAACCATACAGCCTCTCTTGGAACACAAGTCCAAAAACCTACCCAAGCTAGAACTCGGGTCCAGAGATGAAGGTAGAACTCACAGTGGAAAGTGGAATAAAATATAAGCGACTGCCCAGGGGCTTCTTTTGGACAACAAAACTATTTGCATAAAAACACATACCTGCCCACGTCTACACCCAAAGTGAGAAACTCCAGGACAGCAAAGATAGGCATAGAGAGGACCTCACCAAAGAAAGGTAGCTGCCAGCCACTAGTCACTGACATATTCTGTTTTCCCCTCTTCTTTCCTAATAGATCTGCTCTCAAACAATCTCAACTGCTGCCCAGCCATGGAGGGCAAAGTGTTATTGGCCCAAACCAGGCCCTGTAGTTGCATCCCTTCCTCTATGGTTGATTTTAGGTGGGCAGAGTGACTCACAAAGTTTTCTTGGAAGGATTACTTAAGCCTCTGTGGACAATTAAGTTTTGAGGTTGTTTGAGAGTTTTGCACTGTTTCACATTTGTGTTTTCCTCTTTGGCCTGGTACAAGGGCACAGTGCTTGGGTGTGTGGAGGCCACAATACACTTACAAGATCATGAAACTGAGAGGAAAACCTTTGTAGATGGAGGGAAAAACACAATGACTCCCCTAATGACATTGTTGGACTCTGTTGCAAATGCTTCACCACATCACTCAGAACTAGTTGGCAGCAAGGAAGTACTCCTGTTTGTCTAAGCTTCTATTCTTGGATTATTCTACTGTTTTAGTGGTGGCACTGCTATTCGACACAGGAGGAAAGCAGAGAACGAAAGGTCCCTGGTAGAGAGAAAACAAGGAAGAGGAGCAAGACCTACTGTGTTACCACAGATGAACAGAAGAAGTGGGAATTTGGAATACAGCATTTCTAACCGGAAGTGGAGCCTGGGGTGGTGAGAAGAGGTTTGCCATGCAGTGCATGCTCAGGCAGTGGGATGGAGGAAGCCCAGTTAGCATGTCATGGCTGTGGCTGTGCCCACTTTAATCTATGTTCCCAGGCACCAGAGTGCACACTTTGTGGCTACCATCTTCCCATTCCTTCCATGGCCTGTTATTCTGTGAGGGTTGTGAGGTCATTTCAGATTCCACTCCCCATTCTGCCCTACTCACCACTCTTGCCTGCATCTTCCTTATCTGACAGGAGAATCTAGCTCTAGCTCTGGTTTAAAAGCCCCTTTAGAATGTCAAAATAAGAAATAAAATAAAACATACACAAAACAAAGGACAAAGGAGAAAACCATAAGGGAAGAGGAAGAACGAGGCAGGGAGTGTTTCTCTTGACCTGTGTCCTTCCAGTCTCCTTTTCTGTGCTCGGGCCTCTTCTCTAAAATCAGGCAGGGCAGTAAACAGAACAAAAGAAATGTCTTGTGGCTGATTGCTTAAAGCTGCTTGGCAGATGTTGCTGTCTCTCCAAGGTGAGGGGCAGCAACACCAGAAGGCAGGCAAGGAAGGACATCACCTGGCCAGGGCTGGAGTATGACAGAGTGCTAGAAGGAGTAAAGGTGACATTTCCACAGGGCCTGGCATTCCCATCCCCTAGGCTCAGAGTATGTGTGTGTGTGGGGGGGGTGGAAGCACCAGGCTCTTCCCTCCACACATGAGCTAATGTTTCAGGGCACTGCTTTGGGCTCATCAGCTCCTCCATTTCATCCTTTGCACTTGACTTCCACCTCCACTGATGCCAAGACTCACCTTCCAGTAGCCTTTGCATTATTCCCTGTGATTAGCATGACGCACAGCACAAAACAGATGCTCAATAAGTCATGAGTGAATAAAAGTCTATCTGGGGAGTCAGCGAGTGCTACACCAGCACTAGCTATGAGGTTGTTACTGTTGTCACTGTTGTGCTGGTGCTGGTGGTGACAGATGGAAAAGAACCATTCCCCCATGAATCTTCACACTTTAAAAATGAAGACAACCATTAGCACCTTTAGGCAAATGCTGAGTCATGACTGCTGTTGGTCCTGTTCGCTTCTCTAGTATAGGATGTTTCCCCTACTCCCCTGCAGGTATAGACAGGTCAGAGCAATCCTCAGACTGTCGGGAGAGGGAGGGTCAGCAGCAGGGAGGGGACATCTGCCACTCCTCAGTCACTGCTACACACCACTCATCCTCTCCTCTCCCTGCAGACTGCTCACCAGTCCCTAAGCAGCTTTTTTTATTTTAATAATTTTATTGAGAAAGAAGTAGCAATGAGATAGTTTCAAAACAGATTAGTAGTACAGTTACAATAATTAATATGTTGCATATTGTTGTCTTTGTAGCAGTTATTACTAGTACAAGATGCAGACATGCTATCTTGTCTAAACACTATTAGTTCAAAACCTTATTGAACTAAGAGAAAATAGCTGTATATTTATGCTATCATGTATACACATAAATATTTTTCCACTACAAAATGGCCCATTTATATCCCCTTTTTGTTTACTTTTGTCAGAGATGTGTACTCCATAAGCAGCTTCTAAGGACTGCTTGATAATGTCCCCCTACCTCAAGGGACACACACTGCTCTTGAATGGGAAGAGTTTCAGTGATTAAACCAACAACTGTTGTTTATAGCTAAGACTAGATTTCTGAAATTAAATTTGAAGTGTGCCTGTTCCTGCCCCCCTTTACTGCTGCTTCCTGGTAAATTCTTTTCCTCCTCTTCCTGGAGGTATGAGGAAAGAGCTGGGTCTAGCTGTAGCTCTGGGTCTCTAGCCCCTACCTTCAGGGCAAAGAAAGGCTCCCACCTTTTTGCAGAGCAAACACAGTGGCTGGGCAGCCCTGCTGTGAG